CCTGCAAATACTTTATAACTAACACAAATCATAAGTGTGTTACAAGAAAACAAAAGGTAAACATATCTAATTTTTCTGTAAAAATATTCCTTTTTGACTCTTGGGTTCATTTCTGCTGGTTACAAGTGGGAGTATCTCACTGGTCTGACAGCAGAGAAACAACTGCTCACTGTTTGTTCCTCCTCATGTTATTTCACAGATTTACTTTTATAATGGACGTTATTTATTCAGAACAAGGGGCAGCCAGGACACATGGGCTGAAAGCAGAAGTTTTGTTCAGTACAGAGCTGAACCAATGAGCTAATTAATTAAGTAGTTGATTTTAATAAATCGCTTCTTCCTTTGAGTCATAAACAACAATGCTTAAAATTAACTTTTACTTTCACCATGATTGATAACATCTAAGAAACTAGCTGCATGTGTTCTTACCCGTCCTGTGGGGCGGGGTATTCACACTCCTGCCCAACAGGGAACACTCCACTTGGGTATAACTCACTGATGGGCACAGACGGGGGATCAGTCTGAGACTTGGCTGAAAAGAAACAAGAAAAACAGCCAACAAAGTGACTCCGTGAGGTCTCAGAGTGAGGACTTGAATTCACATCATCACCAGAAACTGGAGTTTGGACGGCTGTATGTAGCAGAGCTTAAAGCTGTATTCACACCAGGTGGTTGATGAGACGACAAAATACGATCCAGGAAGTCATGCATTTAACTAAATTACTGATTTGTGGATGTATGCCTTCACCAACCAGTCAAGCTGCAGTTTATATGCATGTCTGTCCAGGCTCATAACATAAGTAGTGAAGGGTCTGAAGGCATTTAATACAGATATTAAGCTTTTTTTTTTTTTTTTTTGGCAAAATAGTAATTACCACTACATTGACGTGATTCTAGAAGACACTCTCCAGTGAGAAACATGCTCTCTTCAGTTAAGAGACTGTTTCTAAAAAGGACCCAGGTGGACACTGTACCAATGCATGAGAATCTGACAGATAACTTGAAAACATGATGCCTCCAGCCACAACTGTGTCCAGCACACAGGCATAAAGGGCCAAAGCACAGTACAGTGGTGTGTACGACTCACGCTGGGCGTACCTCTCCTACTCATATGAAAGCCTGTGTTTTCATGCACAGCAAATGTTGGTATGAACGCAGCCATACTCGCAACATACTTCTGCAGCCGTAACAAATGAGATATCAACTTACATCCTTTCTTCTTCTTTTTCTTCTTCTTCTTTTTCCCTGCTGAGTTTTCTCCGTCATCTCCATCTGTTCGAGCACAGACACAGTTGTTATACTAACATCTAATATTTGTTACAAACAAATAAGGAGTGTGTTATCAGATGTCGGACAATCACCTTCCTCGCCCTCCTCCTCCTTGTCTTTGTCTTCTATTGCCTGCTTCTCCAGCTGTTTGGTCACTTCGGCCACTCCATTTGCCTCCGCCTCGGTGCCTGCAGCAGGACAGGTGTATTTGCACAGTGCAATAAGTAATCAGCTATCTGTGGCAGAAGCATTTGGCGTCAGAGGAAGCCTCAGAAACAGAACAACAAAAGGTGGTATTATGTGCAATAAAACCATTCATTCGCAGAGTGCCATCATCCCATAAAGCCAGTTCCTTAAAAATAGTTCACAGCAGCAAAGGTTAGAAAATTAAGAAAAAAATGCAGAATGTTTAAAAGAAAATACCAAGAAAATTCTTTAGACACGAGTTTTACATTATTTCAGCACAATCTTAGAGGAAGTGCATGTTGCTGACCACCAACAAATATTTTCACATTTAAATCTGAACTTTCATAATTAGTTGAAACTGGTTGCTTTTTGTTGTGCCCCAAAACAGTGACAGTTTTAAAGGGTAAATACAAATATGCTTTCTGTCTCCACAACAAACAAGCACTCAAGTAACATTTCCACACAGTAATAAAAAAAGGATTAACAAAACCACTTAAATAAATTTAATAGAGAAGACACACTCATCATGAATCAACTTTCATGGTTTAGTAAAATGTAATTGGAGGGAGTTTGGTTTGAAGTGGATAGGGAACAAAAGTGGCATAAGGTTCAGTGTTTTGGTGTGGTTGATTTATTAAACAAACAATCTTTAGCTCTTCTTTCCTTACATAATAACTCTGGCAAAAGGGGAATTACGAAACAGGAAACTTGGCTGAGGTTCAGCACAGTCTGCCAGGAGAACAGTGACTACAGGGACCAGTTGGATTACAGAGTTTCTCTCAAAATCAGCAGTAAATTACTTTAAGTGTGGACTGTGTTAAATATCACTGTTCCTGGATGTGGTTTTGACTGAAACCTGCTGTGTTTCATGAATCCTGAGAGGCGCCACAGCTGCGACCCTCACTGGTCTCAGCCCGCATGGCTAATGAGGATCAGCATCAAGTCCACATGTTAGACCAGGGTGCTTCCGGTATGACTTGAAAAATGAGCTTGGTCTTGAAAGTCAGTGTCAGTGAAATTTAAAAACAAGCCATCAATGATTTGTCACTAAAAACTGACCTTAATAAAAACAGCTGTCTTATGTATGTGCCCTCAAGTATCACATCAGTCAAAATATGACTATATTTGACTAACATCATCACAGTAAGCTAGTAAGAAAATCCACATGCAGCTTGCCATATTTTTTTTTAAAACAATTAACTAACTTATATACCACTGACCATGTTGATCAAAAGCTCATTCAGTCGTTCAGAGTCTAAAAAGCACATATTTCTGCATTGTCCTTCCAAACAGACTGACATCAATCTCTCACTTTGGGATATTTTCAAGGCTTAAAACTCAGTTCCATCAAATTAAATAAAAATATGCAGCAGGACATTTATCTAAATAAAAAACAAAACAACAGCCAGCCAAACTGTCATATCCACTAAACACACAAAGCTCTTAATTTTAATACTCACAATGAACTCTAACAATTTAAAGGACACACTCCACTTCAAAATATAACTACAACGTTAAACAGACTACAGTGAGCTCTAACGTGTTGATCTCATGTAAAAATAATAAAATCCCTGTTATTGCCATTGTCTCTATGTCCACAAAACATTTAACGCAGCCGGTAAATATGACATCTGTTACGTCCTGCCCTTGTCTGGACATTACTCTTTGATTTTTTTTATTTTGAATTTTTTTTTTTTACATTTTACTACGTGGCAAACAAATTAAATACGACTCAACAATCAACAATTTCATCCAACGGAATAACAGTAATTTAACAATCAACGTGCTGCTCTATAGCACAATAAATAAAACTCATTTGCCCTACAACTGAATGATTTAATTTCCGCACCCATATAGTTTTATTTTGAAGGTACATCCCAATGATGTCCGCCATTGTCGTTGGTAATTGTAGCTATCTTAGCTAACAAGTAAGGTTAACATTAGCTTTATTAGCCTGCTAGCATGAAACTGCTGAGGACAGTCTCACCTGTTGTCGCGGACTTGTTCTTCTTCTTCTTTTTCTTCTTCTTTTTCGCTGTCTCCTCCGCCGGATCGAGCTCTTCCCTGTCTTCCTCCTCGCCGTTCATCTCTCGGTCGTGGACTGGTTTCTGATCCGATACCTGCTCCGTAAGCACAGCCGCCATGATCACAAACGCTGCTGAAAGAGGAAACGCGAAGGGTTGTGGGGATTCTGTGTGTGACGCTGCCTTTATGCACACTCGGACTTTTTAGTATTATAATTATTAATCCTATGGTTTCTGTAAAAAGCTACTATCGCGGGGCAGATCATGCAAAGCTGCATTAAAAAGGAGATTCTGTGTTCATTTTTCTTCATCATTCCGTTATATGAAACAGAGACATAATAGCAATAGTGAGTCAATTTTTCATACACGTGTGCTGTATCTTTAAATTCTAGACCAAATTAAACTCCGATTTATAATACAATTGCGGATGCTATAAAATATTTGAATGCAACACAAAGTACAACATGCCAAATCAGCTGAAGTGGAGCCTGAGCACTGGATTGTGAGCCGATCGATGAAGTATCCTGGGGTAAGATATAAATAAAAAGTCCAACTGCACAATTAAAATAATGTAAACAAGAAAATCAGAAATTTTAACATTTAGGAGAAAATAAACTAATGCTGCGACCAATGTAATAATGGAATTAACCATTATTAAGAAAACATTAAATACTGTTGTTTAAATCAATGTTACGTTTGCACATAAATATTAAAAATATATTTGTTAAACATTGTCACCAATGAAAAAAAGTCTATGGCCTTATAAAGTTGACACTAAGCACCAGTGGCAGTCACAGAACTGACCAGTAGGTGGCAAAGTCATTACAGCAAACGACCTAATAAAAACGTTAATAATAGGTGAGATGCTTTCAAAACAATGCGTGCACTGTGCACCTACAGCGTTTACTCAGTCAAGAGTAGGCAGACTTTATGGGTGACCTAATCCTTGGCCGAGCTTCTTGAATGTATTAAAGTCCAAGGCAAGTGCATTTCATGTTAACTTTATTTCAGATATAGTTTAGTTTAATCTGGGATCAGGCCCCTCCAAAGAGTCATAAAATCAATCTGAGGGATTATGAAAGTGTTAATGGGAAAAGAAAGGAGAAAAACTGCTGATGATATTTGTATTTTTATTATGCTTGGACTTTTATATTTGCTTTTTGTCAAATATAACTTTACACCTTTAGGCCTCAATCACTGAAATTAAACCATCTGGCATGTTGAAAGGAGAAATGTGTCTTTGGTGGCGATGCTAACAACTAACAGATATCTAAAACATGAAAACATAACAGGAGACCCCCCATCTACACAGCTTAGTTTTAAGGGGTCAGAAGTTAAAAGGTTAGAAAATCACTGGCCTAATAACACTATGTTGGATTTTGTTGTTTTTCTGTAAAATCAACATATTAGATAAATGTAGTGGTATAAAGTACAATATTTTCTTTAAAATGTAGTGAAGTATAAAGATGGATGAAATAAAAACAAGTACAAATAAATCTAAATTGTACAGCTGAGTAAATGCACTTTCCAGCCCTGCAGGTCTGTGTAAAACCCTCCACAGGCAGCAGTGGTTTAAAAGGAGACCAGCTGTTGTGGGTTAGACAAATGCTAAACCCCACAACATGTATCAAATAACCCACCGAACCAGTTTCCTTAACTTCAGCCATCAGAACATGAGCAGGATTTAATTTCAGAAAAGACTTCAGCATACAGTGAACACTTCCAGAATGGGATTTTATTTCATGTTGGAAAATGCAGGAGAACGTAGACCTCACCCCAAGGGAGGGAGAGTGCAGCAGGGGTCAGGACAAGGCAGACATGGTGACAACAAAGACAGAGGAGAGGTGCAGGCATACATCAGGACTCTCAGACTCTCATATGAAACAAAGGTACAGACTGCCCACCTCTTTTAACTTCCATACCCATACAGGTGTTTGATTTTAAACCTCACAGCAGCACAGTTCAACAAATTCAAGGCTTCCTGACCCATCTGCTGAGTGTATCCCTGTAAATACAGATGCTGGAAAAATGGGATTGTTTCAGTCTTCAGTTAGCTGTTCCAAGATACAGTAGTGCTGTATTCCAAACATGCCGCCGGAAACAGGATTGTGAGCGTGTGTCACCATCACCCCCACTGTGTCTGATCGCAGAAACAGGACAGAAATAAAAGCGCTGGTAGTAAAAATAGGTTTATACTTCCTCTCCTTGCAGAACACTTTGTGAGTTCTCTTCAGCTTCCTTATAAGAAATAAGGTCAGCTGAGTTCAGGTGTGTTCAGACAGAAAGTGAAACGAGGCCTTGTGTCATTCACACAGCATTAAAGTACTGTCCTTCAGTACAACTGTAAAGTTCTTGTAATTTTATGCTAATTTATGCCTCTACTCCACTATGCTCATTTCAAACTCTTTTTTTTTTTTTAACTTCACTACATTTAGATTTTACAAATAAAACAAATGATCAGCCTATAAAATATGATGCATTCTACATTAAAGGCTCTGCACACCCCGAGTTGTGCAAAGGCTACACAAAGTAAAAAAATCCCACATCAGTTGGAGTTTGAGTACTCAGCAGTGAACTGAATGCAACTGAGTTATAAATACATTTATAAACTGCACTGATCCCAGTATCACTGTAAATAAAAATTATTAGAAGTTGTAGCATTAATTTGAACAAATAAAACCAGAAAAGCTGTGGTCTGTCAGCAAAATAATTTTTACACACAGTATAAAAATATCTCAGCTACTGATGTGAAGCCACTAATAAGAGTGATACATTTGGAGCTTGTCCTGCAACAAAACTAACAGGAGAGTCTGTCTTTTTTTCCTTTCTTGTTCTAGATAAAACCTTGTAGATTTTAAAAGATCATCCATCAAGAGCTTCACAGTTTGACGTGAATGAGTATTTTTGCTACTTTATATTTTGCCAACAATATTTACATATGGGCTTCCATTGAATTTTGAATGCGGATTTTTAATTTTGCATTGTGGTATTGCTACTTTTAAATAAAGGATATGAATACTTCTTCAGCGACTGACCGACTGCCTGTGGCAAATCTTTAGGTTTAAAATAAAGTTTTAGCCTTGTATTAGACTAATCTAAGAGCAAAACTGGTGACTGGCCTAAAGCTACAGACCAGTCCCCCAGTCCAAGATACACCAGATACACCAGCTGTGTCTATGGGAGCTTGTGTTCATCTCAGCATTGAACTGAACTGAGAACTCACAAGAAACTCCACTTCTGTTATTTACTTCCAGTCTCTCATTTTTACACTCATCTCTAAGCTTAATACAGACCAGGAGAAAAACTAGAATTTTTGGCTCAATCACATCTACACTATCTTCAGGTTCCATCTGAACACACCTCTGAATTTTAAAATCCTGCTCTTAGCCTTCGACCCAAACATCCAGACAGTGACTCAGATCTTTTTCTACTTAAACAATCTGATTACTCATTATTATATATGGAGCCAATCAGTTTCCATAGCTACTGAACAATTGTGAACACATTATGTGGATGTCACCAGGTGAACTGTAACACTGCTCTCCTGACCTCAACACTGTAAGGTCCTGTTGGTTAGTGGTTCTGGTACCTGAGTTTGAACAGCAAAAGAGCAGTAAGAATTGTGGGTAATGTACAGTAACATGGACGGATGGTGTAAATTTGAAATATCTGCACACCAGAAACAGTTGAGATGTAACACAGACCCACTGGTAAAAGACAATCAGTCATAAATACAGTCTCTACTCAGTGCTCAGTTACAGCAGTGGCATTTCATTTCTAGTCCTTCTCAGGGGTTCCTCTGTCGCTCTCCTCATCTCCAAACGTCTGCTCCGCCATAGTGAAGAGCGACTGTGAGCGTGCGGCTACCTGTGCGGCCAGGGTGGAACTGAAGCTGAGGGCCTCTGAGCCGTGCATCTCCGTCAATCTGTCCATCACAGAGACAGAGGGGACTTTAGGTTTCAGTAAGCAGTCCAGACCATTCTGTGACTCACCGTCCTCCATCACCCCATCATACTGGTGCAGCTCGGATGCTCCCCCTCCTCCTCTAGTACAGACCGAACTCCCTCCCAGCTCCCCTTGCACTGCCTCCAAACCACAACTGAACTCGGTCAGCAGCTCTGTGGAGGGGTCAGGCCTCATCCTGCCATCCTTTCCTTCCCCTTCCTCCCCTTCATTTCCTACAGAGCCCTCTGAAAGGTGGTTTTCTTCTTCATTGCCCGTTTGTACTGATGCCAGAGAGGCTGGAGTGTGTGATGGCCTTGTGGCAGGATCTGAACTCTCACTGCAAGCTGAAGGGGTCACAGCAGCTGCAAGGAAAAAATATATCAATCATGGTTGGACTGATACCGATTTGTAATTTTGACATGGACAAATTTGTCATATTTGATGTGATGTAGTCAGGACAAATTTGTCATATTTGATGTGATGGGCTTGTGTCCAGGTAGCTGTCATATTGACTTTGATGCATTTTATTTGAATACTTTTCAGTGTATCGACCAGTAGTAAACTGACTGGGTATGGACAGCCCAAAAATACAGTATCTGTCACAACGTGTTCACATGATGCAATATTTTGCCGAGCATCATCCTGAGTATCAGCAGAAACAGATCCCATTATTCCAGCTAAAATCAGCTTCATTCCAAGAATGTGAGCAATGCCAGCACAGACCTTGGTCATTGAAGAGCAGCTGCTTCCTCTTCATCCTCTCCCCCTCAGATGCACGGAAGCCCAGAACAACTTTGAGCTCGGACAGGACGCGACGCGACTCTTCCCTCTCCCGACGCTGACGTTCCCGTTCCTCTGGTGACAACATGTCCGACCAGGACTCTCTGGTTTCGCAGTCAGAATCCGAGTCAGACACATAGGCCTCCCACTCCTGGTGCACGAAAACGATAAAAGAGACAAAACAGTTTTAAAGGCCATATTCTGCACACATGACTGTGATGAGGGACTTTCAGTGTAAACATACAGTAAGCACACAAGATATCAGGTGAAAGGCAGGCATGTGCTCTCACCAGCTCTTCGGGCACAGGGTCTCTGTCCAGGATCAGGGGGTATGATGGAGGAGGAGCAGGATTATCAGATACAGGAGTACCGCACTGCTCCAGACCCTCAGCATTACCTGCAGATGGTGTAAACCTAACATTACTGCAACACGATTACCTCAACAACCTGGCATTGGAGCTCAGTCACTATATCAACTGATTTTCCTTTGTTGGTCTGTTTCTGGTCCAACATTCTGGAGGAGCTACTTCCTTCATGACTGGCAGTGGCCTTGAGTCATAGTAAAATCACCAGGAAGTCTGAACTAAAAACAGGCCCAGTATGACTGTGGCAACCAGTATACTAGTAAAGAGGGGGTGACACTGTTCTGTTTGTGCTCTATCACACTGTGAGACACATGGAATGTACGTATAAGGCAAAAGTTGACTCTATAGCAAATCGCAGCCAATAAAACAGCAGCAGCACAATGCTAATTTTAGAACATTTATAGATGCTGCAAGATATTATTAAAGTTGCAAGTGTTTGTAAATGTCTGTATTATCACTTTGGTCACTGTGACACTCTGTTGGAACTTTAGACGGCGTGTTTTTCTTCATGTTACTCTGCGAAGAATAAAAACTAACATTCAGTGGTTTAACAGCAGTTTTTCTTGTTTATTAAAGATAAACTAATCCAGCTCACCTGGGCAGGCGTTGGTCCGTCTCAGCATGCGCTCCACCTGGCTGATAGTGTCCTCCCAGCAGCAGGTGCTGGCCTGCATGTGTGGCTGCAGCTGGTGCAGCCGGTCACTGAGGTCCTGGTAGCCCTCGCATGTCAGCTCCGTCAGCTCCTTGGACACCATCAGTTTCTCCAGGTCGTCCTCCAGGATGATCATCCTGATGATATCGGAAACATAAAAGGAGGAGCATTATTGAAGAAACTCCTGTGAAACATACTGTGTAATATTACTCAGGTTTAACAAGGATGCAGCTTCACTGCTTTGTGTCTCAGTGTTTGACAGTTTAAGCTGAAAATCTAGACAGAAAAGAGCGTTAATATGCAAGTAGTCAGTTACAAATTGGAAAAGCCTGTTGGCTTTTTAGACCTCTAGTCCTCATGACAATAAAGATTAGTACCAATTATATATAAAATGTACCAAGTAGCAGGAAGTAGCAGGTGTCACAAAAACCCTTGATATTTGTATCTTCCTAATTTTACTTGACATAGTTGGTCAAAGCAATTGTACTACAGCCCTCCCCAGTCCGGGAGGGCTGTAGGTCTTATCTTGTCCTGGGCATGAGCAAGACACATGGTGGGTCTGCCCACAGTGGTCATTAAGTTATGATTAACTTTCATCATTTGATTTGTGGGCTGAAGACTGCAGCCACTGTGTGTGCCTCACTCGCTGAGCAGGGCCTTGAGGTGCAGCTGCAGGCTTCTGATGGAGGAGTGCAGGGTGTTGAGCTCTCTGCACTTCTCCCTAGCTCGCCCCATCCTGTCGGAGCCCGTCATCCTCGGCTGGGTCTCAAAGTGTCGGTGGAAGGCATAGCTGCGCTGCACTTCATCGAGGCAGCTGGCCAGAGCGTGATGGAGGGGCTCGGTCACTGCGGCAATGGAGCAATGCAGCGGGGGCAGAGGAGGAGGAGAGGTTTCTGCTCTCAGTTTGGCCTCTTCTGACTCCTCTATACGCTGTGGTGAGAGGAGAAGGGCCAGGCGGCGGAAACATTCAGAGCTTTGTCCCACCCACAGCTGGAACAGCATCTGTGGGGAGATAAGTCAACAGCACCTCTGTGGAGCTTTAAGCAAACTCCAACCTTTCTTCATAGTACACGGTGAGTGGCTCGAGAAGTTTCTATCAATAATTTCATACTTTTTCTATGATGAAAACTTAAAATTATGAAGCATAAAACACAAAGTCAAGATGACTGTGTGAAGGAGAGAGCTGAACAGCACAGCATTACTATATTTAATAAAAAATAAATACATTTAAATTGAAAGCATCACACCCCCTCCGCTCCCCCAAACTACTGCCACAATTAAATTGTAATTCTGTGGGAAACTGCTTTTAGCCACATCTGTATATGAAGTTAAACTTCAAAATAACCTAAGAAGTAGCGGCATCACATTCAAATGAATTCATTATTAATAAAGTCTGTGTTATCAGAGGAATGCAATGTTAAACCGTTCCTCCCTGGCCTTGATCTTACCTCCTCCCTGAACCACCGCTTCTCATTTCTCAACCTGCAACCCAGGTGTAACTCTCAGCCTTACCTTCAGGGCAGGGAGGCTGTAGTCGTCTGTCAGCTCCTGGGCTTGCTCGTCACCCAGGTGCTCGATCCCCAGGCCAAGCCCCAGCTCCTTCAGAGGCACCGCAGACACGTAGTTGGTTACATTATCGATTTCAGAGTTCAGAGGGAACGTTGGAAGGAGTTAAGGACACACCAGGCCTTTGTGAAAATGCTGCATACTCTAACAATAAAACAAGCTTTTATGTTTTTGCCTCATAAAATAGGTCATCTCACATAGATCTAAGTTCAAAACACATTTATCCTTATTAATGATGTAAAAAGCATCAACTCTGAATTACATTAAAGGAAGTCTCGAGATTTCCAACCTTGTTATCAAAGAACTGACGCTCTTGCTTACTAACAGCTGCTGGGCTCCAAAGACAAGGCCCCAGTCCTACTTCCCTTTCACTCCTCATATATATGTAACCACGATTTGATGAAAAAGCATATTTAAGCATTGGTCACACTTGGAAAATGTATTACGTCTTGTTAGGTAGAGCCGGATGGTTTCTGAAGCTGAGAACAACTGGACATAAAGGATATGCTTTGAGCATGTGACAGGTGGCTCGACGTGAGGATCTGAAGGCTGAGCGCAGTGCACGATACAGAGCTTTTCTCAGTCCAATCAGCTGCTGGCCGCATGGCACCACCCCCGGCCCTGCCCTGCTAAAGGAGCTGGCCGCACTCACCCTGTCGAGCAAACTTGACAAGTGAAATGTGATACAACTGTGGAGACATCCCAAAGAGGCAGGGGGCATAACACAACACTGAACATCATTAAAGACAGCACAGACAAAAACAACACACAGACGATTCAGACATGAACACAAATGTTACAAAAAAAGACTATATGATGTGCTATTAAAGGAATAGTTCAACATTTTAGAAAAGATGCTTATCCACTTTCTTTCTGAAAGTCAGACTTGAAGATTAAAACCACTCTCACATCTGTAATGTAAATAAGAAGCTGGAACCAGCAGCCTGCTAGCTTATCTTAGCTTAGCACAAAGACTGTAGGAGGAAACAGTCTGGTTCCATTTATAGGTAACACAGCCTCCCCATCAACACCTTTAAAGTTCCATAATCAACACCCCATATGTTTAATTTGTTCAAAAATTCGTACAAGAAGGCAGAAGCACAGGCGGATTTAGTTCCAGCCTTTATTGCTAAGCTAAGCTAACTTAGTGCTGGCTGTGGCTTCATTGTTATGGCGTAGATATGAAAATGGTACCAATCTACTCATGTCACTCTCTAAGAGAGCAAGTAAGTGCATTTCCAAAAATATCAAACTATTCCTTTAAATCACTCTGTGATTCCACTACAATGCTACAGCTGCACTGTTTTTCTATAGACAATGTTAGTGGTCTAAAATAAGCACTGCTGTGATATAAATAATAAAAGAGCTACAGCCACACTACCAGAGGAGATAGATTAACTAACACACTGTCGACAGAGGAGGGACTGAAGAGCAGGCTTGGGTGGAGCAGTGACAGTTGGAGATAACACAGGATATGAATTCACAGTATCATCATGTAGTTTGGTACGAGCCCACTTACAGGGTGAAACCTCTGGAGATGACCTCGGTCTCCTGCACCAGCCGCAGCGCTTTGCGAGACAGGCCGGTCAGAGTTTTGCTGTTGTGGACTAGAGTCTGGAGCTGTGTTGCTCGGGTGTGGACAGCTCTCTGCATGCGGCCCTGTCTCCACAGAGCGACTCCTCTCAGCCCCACCCAGCCCAGCAGGGCCAGGCCCCATGGGGCTGCAGTCAGACACCACAGGCCCTCAGATACGGAGCAGAGTCCCAGCAACACTGCAGCTAGGCCGACCAGCCCCGCCACATCCCTGAGAGAGGAGAACATGACTGGTGTGACCAGAAAGTGTTTACTGCCATCAGACCATTTAGACGCTCACATTTCTACTGGATTGAGTTAAAGGGGAATTCCACCAATTTTACATGACCGTGTCAGTTGATTGGTCTTGAGAAGTAGATGTGAAAGCTGCTGTAATGTCTTCTGTGGCTCTGAAGAAATCATTCAAGTGACATCAACTAAAATTAGAATCAAAAAGCTTTTCATGCAATCAGGTCTTGAGTCTAGGATTTTTTTTAAGTCAAAAAGCTTTGAAAATTAGGAATGCATGTGCAGTACTGTTTTCCCTGCAATAAAGAATATTTTAGAAACTCTTAGATCCCAACAGTATTACACTATATGGTTATTAACAGTTGTCGGGGGGGGGGGGGGGC